TACCCAATAACGGATATTTATCCGAAACTGGTGCTTCACTTGTCGACGAAAAACTTAAGGTGTGTGCAACCCTGACTCGAGACCATTCACAACTTCATTATCACGCTCAGTTTCCGGAAACACTTAGATATGGGTTTGAAAAATCATCGGAGTATAGTTCAGATTCAGGTTTGGTCGTAATGAAGAACGCATTTGTTGATTATCATAAATGCAAAGATTGATCCGTTTACTGGAACGAGTCATTGACTGATTAGGTGTCAGACATCCGTCTCATCATCAATTTCAAATTAACTCGGCATTTGGTTCATAACGAAGTTTTGATGACAACGCAATTTCAGCTTAATATCGTACCAAAAACACGGGTCGTGAAATTAGCCTCACCAGCATTTTTCTACAGTCGATCATGTTGTAAGACTCAAATGCCAAGACTAAAAGCGGGTAGTTATCAGGTTGATTTTGATCAAGATAATTTCACTTTTCGGCTTGATTTCTGGTTGACTGATTTGCTGCTCATTGATGAATCTTGCATAAACTCTGATTTACAAGGCATTTTATATGATTGAGATTGTTGCCGTTGTTTGTCCACCAGTAATTCGGTTAAAATCATTTAAGATGAAATTGAGAATGCATTCGCGATTCTACCGGCGAGTACTTAAAAGTGCTTCTGAAAGTATTGCAAAATTAGTTTCCTTTGGGTTTCAGTTGTTTGTTCATGGCTTCAAAAGTGCTGCTGAGGTTGTACCGGAATGGTCAAGGCAAGGTCGTGCATGCCCCCTGACACCGAGGGAAATCTGTCGTTTCAAGATGTTATTTCAAAAGATGTGTGTACTTGATTACGTCATTAGGAATACAGATCGACACATGGATAACTGGTTGATCAGGTTTATTCATTGAATCTCATGTTTTATGTAGTGTTTGACCATTGAAATCTTCCAAATTTGATGAAATAACCAAACGAATTCAATTTTCTTATCTTTGAAGTCGTTTCGTTTATTGAAAAAGTCACTGTGCTTGAAATGTGCTTGAAACAATTTATTGATGTGAAATTCAGGTATGAAAAAGATGAGGTGTTAGAAATCGCTGCAATTGATAATGGCCTTGCATTTCCGATAAAACATCCTGAAACAACCAGCCGATTGAGACCTTTTCCATTCGGATGGGCTCATTTGATGTGGGCGAAAATGGTTTGTGAATTCCTGCTCGTACATGTACCAAAATAAGTTTGTTGCCAGCATTTGTGTGTAAACACATGAATATAC